TTCAAATAATTGAATTGAATCAAGTGGTTCTAAGAATTTGGATAAGACGTATCTATGTGGAGGCATTATCAATCAAGACGATGAAGACAAATGAATGGCAGTTACATTCAAATAACAAAACAAAGATTAATGGGATTTGATTTATAGGTTTTCGTCTTCACACTATTGGCCAAGAACCTCTTAAATTATTGTACACTTTATGCCACTCTCCCGCTCTCACTTTTCGCCTTTTGGATAGTATTTAATATGTGATACAAATGTAATTAGTTACTAAAATCAATCGCATAATACTAGAGTTAACCACACAACACAAGATTATTATCTTATTCCCCTTTTGTGGTTTAGAAGTTTGCATAATTGTGTGGTGCACTAGTCGAGTCTGGCTGTTTTAGCGAGCTCGAGTCTATTTCAACGAGCTCGAGTTTGAGTTTGTCGAGTGTTCTTTACCTGAGCTCGAGGCAAATTTGTTGTTCGCTGGGCTCGAGCCTAGGCTCATCATGCTATATATACATATATTTTTTTATTTTATTAATATTATTTATGTATTTTTATTCTTATTATTATAAATTATTTTTACTAAAAGTTATTAACTAAAAAATGAACTGGATTTTTTTTTGTATGTGTATATATTATTATATTGAACAAATTGTTTTGTTTAAGTTATTCACGGAGTAACGTAATAATAATATTAATGTAAAAACAATAATATTACTGTGGTTGACGGTAATATTACTGTTGTTATAGTAATATTGCTGTCAACCACATCAATATTATTATTTTGTTTGCATTTTTTTGTTTGTTTGAGTTATTCACGAAATAACGTAATAATATTACTGTCTATTATTGTAATATTACTGTGGTTGACGTTAATATTACTGTTGTTATAGTAATATTACTATCACTCACAGTAATATTAATTCTTTTGGCTTTTTATTATGTTTACATTTATTGAACGGTCAACATAGTAATATTACTCTATTACACAATAATAATGAGTTTTGTTGTGTTAATATTACTGTGCTAGAGATTAATATAGCAATATTACTGTGTTAAACTGTAGTTTAGTTAATTTTATTGTGCTTAACAGTAATATAGTTAATATTACTGTCAATCACAACAATATTGTTGTTTAAACGAGAAAAAAAATGTTACAGAAAGAAAAAATCGAAAAAGTCAACGCCGGAAACTGGCGAAAAAATCCGGAAGAAAAAAATTAAAAAAAATTGAAAAGTCAACGCTGGAATCCGGTGGCAAAAAAAAGTTTTTTCGGAAAAAAAAAAGTTCTGGGTCAAAATTGAATAATTTGTGAAATTTAGGGTCAAATTGAGGTTAAATTAAGTTAAGGATGAAATTGAAGCATATTAAAGTATGAAGGACTATTTTAGTCTTTTACAAAAATCTACCATGTATGGACTTATTGGTAAAATAATTTTTTATCTGGATCTCTTTATGAATAAGTATCCATTGATGGACTTATTTGTAATGAACACATCCTGTTAAATGTGATTGAAAAATCAAATAAAGTGGGATAAAATCAAAGTCAAGACTAAAGAGACCCATAGTTTTAAAAAAAAAGATAATCAACTTTTGTACGATGTAAGACAAGGTATAACATTTTGACTCCTAGACTTTTTGTTAAATCTTTTTTATTAGAATTTTTCAACGACATTATTTCGGGAAAATATCACACAAATATTTTTAGTAAATATAGATACTTTATTTAAAAATTCCAAACCTATATGTATCATCTTATTTTTTTCAAACTCTTTTTTCATCGATATTATTTTGGGAGAATTCCATACCATTAATCGTCATTAATCACCAAGAACATAGACTTATCGGTTTTGGAGGATGATATGGTTGAAAGTGAGATAAAAATTTAGTTATACTCAATATCGAATATTAAATATGTCAAAAAAAAAAATTCGAATATTAATGACAAATAAATTTAGAGTTTTCTTCAGATGTTTTTTAGGCTCAAAATTGTAGAGAATAAATGTAATCATGTAAACAGTTAATGATAAATAGAAGACACGAATTAATTTTTTATATTAAAAAGTAGAAGAAAATATGTGTATTCATCATTTTCTATTAATTAACTAAAAAAAAAATTCTCACGAAAAAAAAAGAAGTTACAATTACACCTCCAAGAGGAGGATGGCAAAAAAATTCGATCCGCTAGCTATCCGTGGGTATCCACTTCGTTTATAACCCGCTACCAAAACCATTAGTAATGATTTTGCTATAAAAAAAAAGGAACAAACCGTAAATTACAAACACCCCTGAGGTATGGTCAAATTACAAAAACACCCCTCTTGTTTGGATAATTACAACCACCCCCTCAACTCCTCAAATTTAGTGGAATCTTCGAGATTATATGGAATATTATCACTTTTGTACCCGTTTTATCCCATTCAAACTCTATATTATGAAGCAAGATGATCATAATATGTGATTTTTAACTTGTATATATCAGTTTGTGGTGCATCGGAAACTGTATTTTTACACAAAACGAATACAAACTAGAGCACATTTCACGGAATCTAGATGATTATATTGAATTTGGCACCATAAGGGTGGAGGTGTAAGAAAAAATCATAGTTGAGGGGGGTAGATTTAATTATCCAAACAAGAGGGGGGTTTTTGTAATTTGACCATACCTCAGGGGGGTGTTTGTAATTTACCCTTATTTTAATCATCATTTTGTTGTCTGGTAACATTAATTTTTGTGAAGTGTCTTATTTCATTTTGTATAACTCACTTAATTTTTTTCTCTTCTTTTTATCTTCCTTTTGTCCGAGAGCTACTTAAAAGTTATTGAGCCCAAGTTATTTTCTATTAACATAATTTGAATGCTAATATCCAGATGTTAGTGGTAATGGTTGTTGACTTTTTGTATTTCGATAAAACAATTAAATAGTTTTAGTAAGATTCTTGTTTGAACTACATTAAATGATAATGATTCTGATATTACACTTTTTTTTAGGATATCCAACCCGATGTCATCCCTATCCATGAGTATTTTAGTGGTACCACATAACACTTGCACATAGTTAAAAGTTAGGATTTTAGTAAAACCGTTAGTTGATGACAAACCTCAAGGACGTAACTACAATTTTACAAATAATAGAGAATACTTTATTGGGTAAATGGCAAATAAGCCCATGACAAGGGCACTTAATTAAAAGAGGATCCAACTTTTTTGTCTTTCAAATAAATCCAGCCCATTCAAACTTATTTGCAAATAAGGAAAATCCATTTATATATATACCAAAATTACCTCCAATTCATTGAAACCCAATTCAACTCCAATTTCATGATTTAAACCCCAATTTAGCCCAATTTTAACCCTAATTTCAATTTTGACCCGTCACCAACGGAGACCGCCTGTCGCCGCCGTCGACCGGCGTTGACTTTTTTTTTTTTTTTTTTGAAAAACTTTTTTTCCCCAGAATTTTTTTCCGGCCGGTCAACTGCCGTTGACCGCGGTCTCCGGCGTTGACTTTTTTTTTTTTTTTTTTTATAATTTTGTTTTTTCTTAAAAAAAATATTTTAATTAATATTACTGTCATGGCTGCTAAATTACTGTCTCCTGCAGTTATTTAATTGTCGGAGACAGTAATTTAACTGTAAATTGACTTTTTTTTCTTCAAAAATATTTTAATTAATATTATTGTCTTTGCTACTAAATTACTGTCTCCAGTAGTTTTTTAACTGTCGGAGACAGTAATTTAACTGTTAATTGATTTTTTAAAAAAATATTTTAATTAATATTACTTTATTCGTTGCTAAATTACTGTCTCCAGCAGTTATTTAACTGTCGGAGACAATAATTTAACTATTAATTGACTTTTTTTATTCTTAAAAAAAATATTTTTAATTAATATTACTGTATTCGTTGCTAAATTAATGTCTCCAGCAGTTATTTAGCCGTCGGAGACAGTAATTTAACTGTTAATTGACTTTTTTATTTTTTATTTTTTTTTCTTAAAAAAGATTATTTTAATTAATATTACTGCATTAGCTGCTAAATTACTGTCTCCAACAGTAATTTAACTGTCGTAGACAATAATATTAATAATATTATTGTTCGAGAAAATAATATTCATAATATTGCTGTCCCAAACAGTAATATTACTGTCTGAGATAGTAATTTAATAGTCAAGATAGTAATATTAATTAAAATATTTTTTTTGTAAGAAAAAGAAAATTCTTAAAAAAAAAAAAAAGTCAACGCCGGAGACCGGCGGTCAACGGTGGTTGACCGGCCGGAAAAAAATTTCAGGTAAAAAAAAGTTAAAAAAAAAAAAAGTCAACGCCGGAATCTGACCGGAAAAAAAAACATTTCAGAAAAAAAATATTTTCTGAAAAAAAAAAATTGGGGGTTAATGTGATATATTTGTTTAAATCCGGGGTCAATGTGTAATATTAAAGAAGCTAGAGCATAATGGGTGGAATTGATAAGAATTATATTATGGAGGATATTTTAGACTAAAGACATGGGATGAGTTTAATTGACTATTGAGAGACTTTTTTTTTTGTACACCAAAATGCATTTAAGTCTCATGTGATGGTTTTTTTTGTCATTCGTCCTAATTATCAAAGACTTATCTCAAGATTATTTATATTGGCCTCGTTCGGTTAGCAAGATAAAATTTAACAATTTAATAAAAACAAATTATTTTATTGGACTCCAACACGTCCAACAAAAAAACTTTTTGAAAGGCAAAATAATCCATATGATAACATAATATTTACGAGTTAATCTAACAAGCTATTGGGATATCAAACTTTAAACAATATCCGATAATTTAATTAATAATAATTAATCTCCCCAACCAAACGAGCGAGTACGAATATAATATGAGCAGCCTAGTGTATGTTGGCCCTTTATTAAAAAGAGCACACAGCATGAAGCGTGGATCTTGTTGCCCGCTCATATTATAAATACACACCCATTTTTCAACTCTTCTTTCATTCCTCATCATCCTTCTTTCCTCCTTTGCTCAACTACTCCTTTTCTTCCCACATTTTCCTTTGCCTAAAGGTATGTTTCCTCATTCGTTAATGATATATGAATGTTTTTTTTTTTTAATTAAGTATTTCTAAGTTTCGTTTTTCATTGATGATTTATTTTGTCGAAATCAATTTCTGCTAGTTGTTTTTGTTCTAGTTAGTGAGATTTATTTGATTTATTTTGTTTTTGGAAAAAAAGAGGGGGTAGCAGAGAGAGAAAGCATTATCCATGACGATCAAGCCAACAGTTCGAATTGCGGGGCGTAAGCTGGTGGTGAAGGAGCGTACCATACTCACCGACGTGCCGGAAAATGTGGTGGCCACCTCCGGCGAGGCGGTGGAGGGCGTGTTTCTGGGGGCTGTTTTCGACGAAGAGAGCTGCCGGCACGTGGTCCGACTCGGGAAACTGCAGGACGTCCGGTTCTTGGCTTGTTTCCGGTTCAAGTTGTGGTGGATGGCTCAAAAAATGGGTGAAAATGGCCGCGACGTACCGTTGGAGACTCAGTTCTTGCTTGTCGAAGCTAAAGAAGATCATCAAGATGAGGAAAACATTGCCTACACGGTGTTTCTGCCTCTAATCGAAGGCCCCTTCAAAGCTTGTCTTCAGGGGAACGATGGAGACGAGCTCGAGTTGTGTTTGGAGAGTGGGGATAACGATACTCTGGCGTCGGCTTTCACCCACTCCGTCTACATTAGCTCCGGTTCGGATCCGTTCGCTACTATACACGAGGCGATGAAGGCTGTTAAAATGCACCTCGGGACGTTTAAGCTGAGGGACGAGAAGAAATTGCCGGATATTGTCGACTACTTCGGGTGGTGCACATGGGATGCTTTCTATCAGGAGGTGACTCAACAAGGGGTGGAAGCCGGCCTCGAGAGCCTCACCTCTGGCGGCGCTCCACCCAAATTCGTCATCATCGACGACGGCTGGCAGTCGGTCGCCGGCGATGAAGAAAAACAACAACAACAACAACAAGAGCTCGGTCAGCCTCAACTACTGAGGTTGACCGGAGTGAAAGAGAACGCGAAATTCCAAACGGAGGACCCAAAAATTGGGATCGAGAATATCGTGAAAATCGCGAAAGAGAAGTACGGGTTGAAAAGCGTGTACGTGTGGCACGCAATCACAGGGTATTGGGGTGGGGTGAGGCCCGGCGTGAAGGAGATGGGGGAGTACGATTCGGCCATGCAATACCCGAAGGTGTGCAATGGTGTGATGGAGAACGAGCCCGGTTGGAAGACCGACGCACTAGCGGTGCAGGGTTTGGGTTTGGTGAATCCGAAGAACGTGTACAAATTCTACAACGAGTTGCATAGCTATTTGAGGTCGGCCGGTGTCGACGGGGTCAAAGTAGACGCGCAGTGCATATTGGAGACACTTGGGGCTGGTCTTGGTGGCAGAGTTGAGCTAACCAAGCAGTATCATCTAGCTCTCGATGCATCTGTCGCCAGAAATTTCGCGGACAACGGGTGCATCGCCTGCATGAGCCACAATCTCGAGTCACTTTACTGGTAATAATTGTACACAAGCACGCTTCAAATTTTCGTGATTTTGATATTTTCGAGTATCTTATGAACTACTCGATTACTTTATAAAATGTCAGCTCAAAGCAAACAGCTATAGTGAGAGCATCGGATGATTTCTTCCCACGAGACCCTGTGTCGCACACGATCCACATTGCGGCCGTTGCGTACAACACCGTGTTCCTAGGAGAAGTAATGCAGCCCGATTGGGACATGTTCCATTCCGTCCATCCCGCGGCAGAGTACCACGGATCGGCCAGAGCTCTTAGTGGTGGATCTGTCTACGTTAGGTAATTAAATAAATCTCATCAGCGATACATATATGATTATGGTAATGATATGTTTTGAATTTTAATATGTCATTTTATTGTTTATAACAGCGATAAACCAGGGAAGCATAATTTCGAACTACTGAGGAAGCTTGTTCTTCCCGATGGCACCATCCTCCGGGCCCGCTTTCCCGGTCGACCTACTAAGGACTGCCTATTTTCCGATCCTACTCGTGATGGTGTTAGGTCAGAGCATTCTCATTCACTTTCTTTTTATTAGCACCTCTGTATTTTAGAAACTCGTCTAGTCGCACCTAAAATCGCCTAATTGTACGTAAAAAAACAACTCACCGTGTTATAAATATTTGCAAAATCCCCACTATGATACATTTTTTTTTAATTGTTTTCTAAGTCAAAAATTGTTGATGTACATGTTTTAGTCTGTTGAAGATATGGAACATGAACAAGTACAGTGGAGTACTAGGAGTGTACAACTGTCAGGGCGCGTCGTGGAATAGTGTCGAGAGGAAGAACACTTTCCACCAAGCAACAATATCGACTGAACCGATAACCGGATACATCAAGGGTGGTGACGTCCATCTCATTTCCGAGACCGCCCTCGACGCAAACTGGGATGGGAAAGTGGCTCTCTACTCCTACATGAAAGGCAGCATCACCATTCTGCCATACGATGTTGCCATTCCCGTTTCTCTAAAGGTCCTCGAGCACGAGATTCTTACAATCACACCCGTTAAGATATTGGCACCCAGTTCGAGGTTCGCCCCGCTCGGACTTATTGACATGTTTAATGGTGGTGGAGCAATACAAGGGCTGAAATATGAAGAGGGAGAGAATGGTGTTGTTTACTTAGAGGTGAAGGGTTGTGGGCGTTTTGGCGCGTACTCGTTGACCAAGCCTAAAAAATGCACAATCGGATCGTCTGCGGTCGACTTTGAGTATGATTCGGCCTCCGGTTTATTGACCTTAAACTTGGAAGAGATGCCTCTTGAGCATCAGAAAGTTCACTATATTGTGATTGAATTATGAACTTATTGTCATTGCAAGGCTAGATTATGATGCTATAAATTATCATAAGGGCTTTTGTTTTTTTGGAAAATGTAATAATATTGGTTGCTTCCCTTTGTTGTCGACATTCGGTCGGTTTGGTGTGTTTCGTGGTTGAACTTGTGAGAACACCAACCTTGCTTGTAAGATGTAACCGCAATTCATAGTATTGATGCTTGGAAGAATCTCGTTGTAGTAGTACTATCCCAGTTCATATGTATTGGATCATCATAAACTTCTTTCGCACATTTGTTCTTTGTACCGCCTCCTTCCCATTTTATTTGTTGTTTGGGGCTAAAGTGCACACGTATTAAGAAAACTAATAAATGTACATGGATTATAGGAAAATCCTAATAAAGTGACTAAAAACACCCTCTCATCCATTAATTCAATTAAGTATAGTAAGGGCAAAATTAATCAAAGCATAAGAAATGTTTAGAGTATAAAGTGATAATTATTTTGAAATATTTTTTTTCTTTCTGAAACAACAAATAAACCGGGAAGGAGTTAGTACTTGTTTCTTTGTTCATGTGTTTGTGAGTTGGTGTGTGTTTATGTGCGTCAAGCGACAATTCCCTACATACACATGGTTCATCATGTATTGAGTGCGCATAATCTTGTGTTTGTGTGGGCGGGTATATACTACCGCTCCAAATTGGAACGTAATTTTTGAATTATGATGTTTCGAATCCAATTTCTTGTTTAATGTTTTTTATTATTTCAATTTTAGAAATCTGCTAAACAGTATAGACTGAAATCGGAATTATATATGAATTTATTGAATAATCACCTTTTGATCAGATTTTATTTTTAAAATACTTTTGAATTTCTATGTTTAATAGTACTATATAATACCATAATATGCATGGCTGCTAATATTTAATATGAAAATATAAATGTTAAAACATCCTAAGAATCCTCTGTTGGGAAAATTGGTTAAAAATTGAGTCATGAACAATTTTTTATCAATGTTATTGTACGGTCTAATTAAATATATAAATGAATTTTGGATTAGAACCAATTTTGTGGTGAATGAAAAATTACTAGTCCAAAATATAAGGAAAGTGGGATTTTGAGTTATCCCACATTGGAAAAGTAGAGAAGTATTGAGCTGTATATATATCAAAATATTGGGACAAAGGGTCACGCCCTTTGGGCATTCAACTTTGTTTGGGAGAAAGGCCTATATGTTATGTGTTTCAAATCGTGCCCACACGCACCGCCGCCGTCTGTCCGACCGGCCGGCTCGTTCGTACGTATCGGATTTGGATTTGGATTTGGACTCGGGCCCAAATCACTACATTATTTTTGGGCCAAAAACATTAGGTCATGGGCTTTAATCCATTGGGCCCTTATTACTCGCAGCCCATCTCGATTGGACTCGAAATGGTGCAACTACTCCCAATTGGCTCAATTCGAAATGGTGCAACCATTCAAACAAAAGGTACCTTTTTATTCTAAAAGGACACTACTTTTCGAACCTTATAAATAGACCCTAACTTTCCCACAATTCCTCACTTCAGTCCTAAACAAGCCTACTGCATATTAAGCCTTCCCTTTACAAATTCTCTCGAAAAGTTCTGCACAAAGTACAGTTCGTCGTACTAGGGATTTGGAGTGCTCCTATTCCAAGTTTTGCCGTTGTATCTTGGGAGACGATTTCCATTTCATCCGTTAGCACCGTTGCGGGGAAATTTCGTCTTAAGGACAGAGACAACTCGCCTCGGCAAAATTCTCGTTCATAGCAGGTTAACAACAATCTTAAGACGAAATTGTTTCAATCTGCAAGATGGCCGAAGGAGACAACAACAACAACAACCTGCCGGAAAACCAAGATGTTGATCCACCAACCCAAGGAGTGCAGCCAACAAATGTTCATGTTCCTCCCCCAAACGCTACTGTTCCACCTCCAGTTCTTCCACCAACGTTTCGTCCAGCCCCATACCCTCCTGTCGTCGCTCATGGAGAAAAACCGGAGAAGTTCAAAGGTATCGACTTCAAACGTTGGCAACAAAAACTGCTATTTTACCTCACTACTATCAACTTGGCTGTTTTCGTTACGGAAACACCTCCTGCTGTGCCTAATGCCGACGCTACCTTGGAAACGAGAGTTGCGTGGGATGCTTGGTTCCATTCCGATTTCCTGTGTCGGAACCACATCTTGAATGCTCTAGATGATTCACTATACAATGTGTATAGTGCGATCAAAACCGCTAAGGAACTGTGGGAGTCCTTAGAAAAGAAGTACAAACCTGAAGATGCCGGGTTGAAGAAATTCATCGTCGGGAAGTTCTTGGACTTCAAAATGGTGGACAGCAAGACTCTTATGAGCCAAGTCCAAGAGTTGCAACTCATCATGCATGATATTCATGCTGAAGGAATGAGACTGAGTGAATCCTTTCAAGTCGCTGCAATGATCGAAAAGCTACCACCGCTTTGGAAGGATTTTAAGAATTATCTCAAGCACAAACGCAAGGAAATGGGGCTTGAAGATCTTATCGTGAGGCTAAGGATTGAAGAAGACAATCGAAAGACCGAGTCCAAACCCGGCAAGCAGCAAATGGAGGCTAAAGCACACCTTATGGAACCAAACATGCAGGTTAGCAAGAAAAGAAAGGCTCAAGGAAGTGCTAGTGGCGGTGGAAATGGAAGCAACAACGGCAAAGGAAAATGGAAGCCAAAGAAGTTCAAGTTCAATGGAACGTGTCACAATTGCGGCAAGCCAAATCACATGGCAAAGGATTGTCGTCAACCCAAGAGGCAAGCTAATATGGTCGAAGACAAAAGTGTTCCTATTGACATGTCCGACCTCAACTTATGTGCCGTAGTCTTTGAAGCTAATTTGGTGGACAATCCCAAGGAATGGTGGCTCGATACGGGCGCAACTCGCCACATATGCTCCAACAAGGAGTCGTTCTCCTCCTACACTCCAATCAATGGTCAAAAGGTGTTCATGGGAAACTCTGCCACCTCGGACGTTGTAGGCATAGGAAAGGTTGTTTTGAAGCTCACCTCCGGGAAGGAGCTCACTTTGGTTAATGTAATGCACGTTCCGGATATCCGTAAAAACTTAATTTCCGGAACGCTGCTCACTAAGGCTGGTTTTAAGTTAGTTCTTGAGGCTGAGAAATTAATTCTCACCAAGAATGGTTGTTTTATAGGGAAAGGCTATGTTGATAACGGCCTTGTTAAGATGAATGTAATGACGCTTGTTCACAAGCTTGATGATAATAAAATTACTAATTCTATGTACTTGATAGAGTGTTCTAAATTATGGCATGTTAGACTAGGACATGTGAATTTTAAAACACTCAAAAAGTTAGTAGACTTAGAACTACTACCTCATCTTAAATTCGATTATCAAAAAGGAAAATGTGAAACTTGTGTAGAAGCAAAAATGACTAAATTGTCATTTAATTCTGTTGAAAGAACAACAGAACCTCTAGATTTAATTCACAGTGATATTTGTGATTTAAAATTTGTGCAAACTAGAGGAGGAAAGAAATACTTTATTACGTTTATTGATGATTGCACTAAATATTGCTATGTGTTTTTGCTAAGGAGCAAAGACGAGGCCTTGGAAGCTTTTAAAAGCTATAAAGTTGAAGTGGAAAATCAACTTGGAAGAAAAATCAAAATGGTTCGAAGTGATAGAGGTGGAGAATATGGTGCTCCATTTGACGAATTTTGTTCTCAAACCGGCATTATTCATCAAACTACAGCACCTTACTCTCCCCAATCAAATGGTGTTGCTGAACGCAAAAATCGGACTCTTAAAGAAATGATGAATGCAATGTTGATAAATTCGGGTTCACCTCAGAATTTGTGGGGGGAAGCACTCCTCTCGGCAAATCATATTCTTAATAAGATTCCGCACCGAGAAAAGAAAGAAACCCCTTATGAATTATGGAAAGGTCACAAGCCGTCCTATAAATATTTAAAAGTGTGGGGGTGTTTGGTTAAGGTACAAGTACCCAAACCAAAACAAATAAAAATTGGGCCTAAAACTGTTGATTGCATCTTTATTGGCTACGCAAACAACAGTAGTGCATATCGATGTTTAATACACAAGTCTGATGTTCTTGATATGAATGAAGGCACTATCATTGAATCAAGAAATGTTGAATTTTTTGAGGATAGATTTCCCTATAAAGAAAAATCAGCAACGGGTTCTCACAAAAGAACATATGAAACTGCTAATGATGGGTTTCAAAGTGATGAAGAACCTAGACGAAGTACTAGGGCAAAAATCGCTAAGTCCTTTGGACCGGAATTCCTAACATATACTTTGGAAAATGATCCAAGGACCATAAAAGAAGCCTTATCCACTCCCGAAGCGCCGCTTTGGAAAGAAGCAATCAATAGTGAAATTGATTCGATTATGCAAAATCATACGTGGGTATTGGTTGATTTACCCCCGGGAAATAAACCGTTGGGCTGTAAATGGATTCTCAAAAGAAAGTATAAAGCCGATGGCTCGATTGATAAATACAAGGCAAGATTAGTAGTCAAAGGATTTAGACAAAAGGAAGGTCTAGATTTCTTTGATACTTATTCGCCCGTAACGAGAATCACATCAATTAGAGTACTTCTAGCAATTGCTGCTTTGCACAATCTAGAAGTTCACCAAATGGACGTAAAGACTGCATTTTTAAATGGTGAATTAGAAGAAGAAATATACATGGAACAACCCGAAGGGTTTGTTGCTCATGGACAAGAGTCCAAAGTATGTAAACTTGTGAAGTCACTTTATGGACTAAAACAAGCTCCCAAGCAATGGCATGAAAAATTTGATAGAACAATACTATCAAATGGGTTTAAAATAAACGAGTGTGATAAATGTGTATACGTTAAAAATACACCAAATGAATTTGTGATTATATGTCTCTACGTGGATGACATGTTAATTATGGGCAGTAATCACGAGATAATCGTGAAAACTAAGAAAATGTTATCAACACATTTTGACATGAAAGATATGGGTCTAGCCGATGTAATTTTGGGAGTAAAAATTATCAAAAATGACAATGGACTAGTTCTTACTCAATCGCATTATATTGAGAAAGTACTACAAAAATTTAAAATGTTTGATAGTCCACCTGCTACGACCCCAATTGATTTGAAAATTCACTTATCCAAAAATCGTGGAGAACCAGTGGATCAATTAAAATATTCTCAAATCATAGGCAGTCTAATGTACGTCATGAACTGCACTCGTCCGGATATTGCTCATTCGGTTAGTAAATTAAG